TCATTTGTGCAGAGTAGCAGGATTGGAAGAAAGCAAGTTTTGACCTTACCAATTTCAAAGAGGAAAACCAAGGTTATATGCATAGTCGTCTCGGAGCCACGAATTTGAAATTTGAAATCGGTCATCTTGGAGCCACGAATTTGAAGTCTGAAATCGTCCATATCGAAAGAAAGCGATCTTTGACCTTGCCAATTTCAAAGAGGAGAGCTAGAAAAGGGCCTGTTATGTCTAGACTTACCAAAAGGGTTCTGTGAAAGACAATCTGAAATTGTGAGGGACAAGGTAAATGCATAGAAAACTTGTACCATATGCTTAATGAGTTGTTATTAAGAGTTTTTTGAAAACCTTGCATAAAACTATTGTAACTTGTGCTTAAAGAGTTGTATTTAAGACTTTGTCTTAAATGGTTATATATGTAGTATAGATATATATATATATATATATATATACTAGTGGTGTACCCGCGCAATGCAGCGCGGGTGAATCACAATTCTGAAACATTAGTCTGACCTTGAAACATGAGTTTGTGTGCTTATTTTGCAAGTCGGATCGGTTCTGACCGGATCATAAAATGGCTAAAGCACATCATCAATAGAGCCCAAATCAAATCAGACCCACATGAATGGAGTAGTTTTTAAGGAATTATAAATTAAAGTGGGAGGAGTATGCATGGGAGATGGTTTTTTTACTTTTAGCAGTTTCTATGTACGGTTTACCAAACCCAAGACATCCATCATTTTCAAAGCTAACTTTTTGCATGCTATCATTTTTATCTGCCACATCTTTTATACAAGGGTCAAAACAATTAACCAAATTAGAGTCTTGCCCAACATCCGATAAGGAAGACCTTCGGTCAAAGGAAATAGATGTGGAAGGTTGCTGTCGAGATCAACCGTTGTATAAATATTTAAAACAAATAAACTCATTGGGTCGGCTACTTGCTCCACTTTGGGTCCATACAAGCCTTGCAATTTTCATGGGATGACTAAAGTATTGTTTTACTCATACCAATAGCAGGTGATTCGTCGCTAAATGCTATCTTATTTTCACATCAAACATCCCTCTTTAACATACTAAAACGGTAAAACTGAACAAATTGATGCGTTTTTATATGTCGATAGGTTCGGAACAATTTGGAGCGAAAAAGGGACAATAAGAGGAATTTTTGACAGCTTTACGAGACTACAGTATTTCAAGCATATCTAACTCATCCGAGCTCGGATTTAAGTTATTCWAGATGATATAGAAATCTAACAAACAACCCCACAATTTTTGGGTTTTGAGTTTCTGCAGATTCGGGCGGCTTCTAAGACGAAATTGACGTCGAAGGTGGAAAAGAGATGCTGGACCGCAGCCACGAAAGTCTTGATCTTACCTTAAGAAAATTTACATGCTCCCTAAAATAGTACTTTGGACTTGTAGATAAACATCCCAGAACTTGTTAGAACCTCATGAAGCTTGCAAACTTGTTAGAACCTCATGAAGCTTGCAAATCTCTTCAGCTCAAATTTGGCCTGTTACATAACACACCCCAATGTTATTCAATTTGTTCTTGTAACCACCAACCCAAATAAGAAAATCAGAAACATCTATAATATTTCCATATAAAARWTTAATAGCAACAAACTGTTACTGTTTCTTCTAATTTCTTAGTTTCAATCGAGTTTACATTTAGTGATGGCCACATCAAATGAAATCATTTCTCAAAACTGCATAAAACAACTGAAGAACAAACTGACCTCTGT